GAAAGAGACCCTTAAAAAGTTATTTCTTTCTGCTTCCACTTCAAATTCATTGACAGTTGTATTTCACTTACGTTTTTCTTTCATCTTATTGTTAAATGGTGGCAAAGACTAGAATGTTAATTTTAGTGTGTATAAATAATTTATTGAATAATAATATATGAAAATGAATTTGATATGCTTCTCTATATGAACGACATTCTATTATTGAAATTTATTAATCAGCACATTCCACTCCATCAAACCTAAATTTTTTGCGGAAGAGGAGGGGAGGAGGTGGAGAGGCGGTTTGGAAAAATGCAGTACAATGGGCTGACTAAATCTGAACACTTGGTCTCTGAAAATGCAGATATCAGTGTAATTCAAATGATACTGATGAGATACAGAACAGTTATATGCAGTCATAATAACAATTTATATACCATCAATATTAATAGCAGTGTCTGTTTGAGGATACAGTTTTAAAATAGGTACGTACAATTTTATTAAGTATAAAAAGACACCGTGCAGAGCACAATACAATATATTTCATCTTTAATTCTGGTAGTTCTCAAACTCAACTGTCTTAATTGATATTGTCACCAACGACCACTGGATAGAATTACTTCTCTGTATAAAATGAGGCTTCTCTGGATGAATTCATGCTGTTTGGTTTTAAAAACACAGTAATTTCCTTTCATTGGCTACTTACACTAACCGAACACTGTCAAGACTGTTGGCTAGCCTGCATTTGGTTTCTAACATATGCTATGATACTGCCAATTTCCCCTGTTTTGCTTTGCCTCTCTCTGTTTGAGAATAGATCCTTCAAAATATTAATTGTTTCTGACTTTGCTCCAAGTTCACAACCAGAACACTGGTTCAGACCATTTCTACATTCCTCACGTTACTAAACTTTCACTGACATTAGCTGGAGTTTTCAACATGCAAGGACTGTAGGGTTCTCCCCTAAGCTCCTTTTCTCCCCCAGTCTTTTATAACGAAGCACAGAAGGCATGCTGAAAATGATTATTTTTTAGAATTTGGGGTTCCATTTTCTCATTTTCTTGAAAGTAGATTACATTTATAGCCTTCCAGCTTTGACTATTTTCTTTGGAAAAGCAGACATGTAAACTTAAGAACTTAGTTATATATTTTGTTTGGACATTCCAATTTGGTTTGATTAAAAAAAAAAGAAGTCAGAACTCTAACTTCAAATTGATTTAAATGATAATGTGCAAGTCTTAAAAGAAACAACTTATACTTCCTCCTCTCTAAAATATATTAACATTAGACTGGAAAATAAATTAAAGAACACAGAAAAGCCGAGGTTATGCTGTCACAGTAATATCTGCCAAACAAAGCTTGGTCTTTTGCTAACGTTAGCTTACTACATTTTCAATACATGCTAAGCAAAGACCCTACTTCTCTAACAGGTACATTCAGACAATATATATTTTATGGAATAAATATATAATAGATCCAGTTATAGATTTCTGAATAGTAACTATAATAGATACAAGCAATACCTATGTTTAAAAATACAGTTCTAGGATTCCCTAACTTTACTACTAATAAAATTAAAATTGACCTAAAACTTTCTCACTCTATTGATGCATAATAAAATATATGGAAACATGAAGAGTAAAAAGCCAATTGCTCCTACAAATGGAATACTTTATAAATATAGTAAATTGCTATTTCCAGAGGGAAAATTGAAAATTATAAACAGGACGTTAGGTTAAAACAGCTCTACAATATATAGTACAAAGTGGCTATGAAGCGTGATGTATGAGTTTGATGTCTGTGGCAAAATTTTGAACTGATGTAGTTGTTCATTTCTGGAGATAACTGTAGAGAAAGATTCTGTCCCCAAAAGCAGCCAATCTTGATCTCCTTAAAACAAAACTTTCAGTGACTAGAGAAAGCCAACGGGCCAATTTGTCAGAGTAAGGAGTGCAAGATTAGATCAAACAGAATTATTTGGAAGCCCTGGACTTCTCTGTTTCATAGGGTTTACCTATCATGCTGTTCTCATTAAGAATAGAGTCACAGAAGTACTATATATCTGTGACTGCTGTGTGCTGAAAAGCCTTATCATGAAGGTACCCTCCCTATGGCTGTCTTAACTACATTATTCTTGTACTGCACATTCTCCAGATGAATCTGTTTTGTGTTCCTGTAGTTGTTTCCTTTTGCTGGAATACTGAAGTACAGCTCTGGTTGCTTGATTACTGAACTCTTGATCGAAGCTTTTTTTTTCTTGAGAATAACCTAGAATTAAAGAAACACATTTCTCAGAGCAAGCACAAGGAATTGAGGAATTAAGTTGCTGGCTGTCTTTGCCTGCCTTTCTTCTCTTTCAGTTTAAAGAAAAATTTCAAATCAGTACAAATACCTTACTTGCTAATGAAAAGATTTAGGTAACTGAAAAAACAAAAAACTTCATGTAAGACGTTCATCTCCTGCAATGGACCTATTTTACATGGAAACCCAAAACTTACTTCATGAAATACTACTGTTTATACCTCCTGCCTGAGTTGGGGCCCTGAGGCGGGATTCAGATCCCACTCGGAGCCTTTGTCTGCATCAAAGCTGGAATTCTGGTGGTCACAGGACAGGGGGTCTACAAGGTGAGGTTTTTTTCCCCTAAATATCAACAGAGGTCAGTGTCAACATTAATAACGATGAAACCATCACTGGGAGCTTGTTGTGGTTTAACTTCAGTTGGCAACTGAGCACCACACAGCCGCTCACTCACTCTCCCCCGGTGGAATGGGGGAGAGAATCAGGAGACTAAAAGGGGGAAAATGCGTGGGTTGAGATAAAGACAGGTTGACATGTAAAGCAAAAGCT